AAAAAAAAAAAAAAAAGAGAAACAAATTTAAACCATTAATAATCTACAATGAAAAGAATGCATAAATTTTAACAAATAAAGTTACAAAATTCTTTTAAAAGAACAATTATCATATATTTTATAAAAAATTCATAAAAAAGAATAATAAGACTAATAAGAAAAATAGTTCATACTACAATTGTCACGCCCCAAAACCAAAAGCGAAATAGACGTCGTACACTTGTGGGAGAATCCACAAATGCACAAGGTTCAGAAGTTGTTTAATTCACATGTGACAATCTAATAACTTAAATCAAATATCTCAAAACAAATCTATGTCCAAAATGACTTAAGTTCAAAATAATTCATCTAGTGGCCAAATTCCAAAATAAACTAAATCAAAAATGCAAAAGGCTAGCCTTCTAGCTCGTCACTCCCCTTGGTTTCCCATGTCTCGGTTCTTATTACATGAAATGGTGGACGAGGAAAAAACTCTATGAGATAACTCAGTAAGTAAAAATATAGATAGCCTTTAATTAAAATTTATAACATGACAACAAGTGTAATCAAGTATTAAGAAAATGGGTACAAGTATGGGAATGAAATAGATGTCTCCTCTATAGGTTATGGCTAGCATTTATAAACCTCCCACTGGTGGGCACAAGATTTGCTAGTGGAATTCCACTAGCAGGACAACAAGTATAACAAGAATGAGCCGGCTCCATAAGTAACATGTCGACATGTGTTAACGTTTATAAACCTCCCATTAGTGGGCACAAGTATTACATGACCACATTGGAGACTAAAATAGGCTAGAAAGTACATTTTAAGTAAATTCAGGAAAACATGTATAACAGGGAGCAAATAAGATATGTTCAAAACTTTTATAAATGGGCTTGCTTAACCAATTGAAATCCAACTCGATAAAAGAGGATTTAATCATGGTAGTTAACCCAAAGTAGACTTTTAATCCTATCACCATCTCAAAATCAATAAAAGTCATGGTTCAAATTTACATTTTAAAATCAAGGATGAACCATAAATTTACTTACCTCTCTTTGTTGTTATATTGTAAGCTAGAATTCAAGTATCAAGGAGGTGAAGGTGTCTTAGAACCTATTTCATATCAAGAACAACAAGATCACCGCATGCCTCATTTAACTAAATTGATATTTAATTCTAACACCAAATTTAAACCCAAGGGAACAATTTCTCCCTATCTTCTCTTGCCATTTCTACCCACAAAACCTTACTAGAATATGTATATTAATTCACATGCATAGCCATATTAAAAAAAAATCCCAAATATGACAGCAAACATTCCAAAAAATTTTCAGTAAGGAGTAGCAAAATTTTGGTAAAAAGGGCAGAAAATTCTAGGGAAGACAGTGCAGAAAACAGCAAGGAAAATGTAGAAAAATGAAAAATTTTCTAGGTTAAACAGTGTCGAAAACATCAAAGGAAAGTGCAGAAAATGCAGAAAAGTGTAGAGTTTTTTAGGTTAAAACAGTGTAGAAAATAGCAAAATTTAGGGCAAAAGAGCAGCAGAAAATGAACCAAAACTAAGCCAAGACATACAACATTTCAACAGCAAGGCAAGGCAGTATTCTGGTGCTTAAGCAGCACCTAAAACAGATTTTTTAATGTAACTAATAGAGCAAAAATTCACAAACTAAAAATGGGGCAAAAGCAGTCAAAATAGTAGCTAAAATCTAGAAAAAAACCATGATGCAATATAGCAGTAGGAATGTGGGAGTAAAGCAGAAAACACAACTTTTTAGGAAAGTTTCGTTAAATTTTCAAACTAGACATTCCACCAGAATTTTCACCTAGAAATTGACCAATCTGGACTGAATGGTTAAGAGATAAAATGTAGCCCTATGTGTTAGTGTTCTATAAGATCAACAATTACCTTAATTCGACATCTACAAAGGAAGTTAAGGTTGAAATAGTGACAATAGGTCAAGCTGCTAGTTTAGTTTGCTTGAAGGATCCGAAATTGCAGCAAAGTTTTCACCTTGAAAACAGCTGAATTGGGTTAAATGTCCAACATAAAAATTGTAGGGTTATCTCTTAGCTTTCCATAGAATCAAGAATGAACTCAAAACAATATCTACAAAAAGAGTTATGGGTAAATTACTACAGAAGGGTCATGCAGCCCGAATTTTTGGTCAGAAATCAGTTTTTGGTGGTATTTATCATAGACAAAATCAAGGGGAAAAACTACAGAAATTTTCTTAAATTTGAAAACCCTCAAGGATTGGAGTTAACCCACTTTAAATCATAGAGAAAAAAATGAGTAATATGGTTGATTTCTTACCAAAAAGTGTTGAAAATGGTGATGGATAGCATCCAAAACAGATCAGCAAATCGGAGGGTGCAACAACCCAAATTTGAAATATTGTTCATGATTTTTTTGACAATTATAAATCTCACCTTATTCTTCGCTACCTTGCTAGGAGAAGGAAGAAAAATATTAAATCTCACCTTATTCTTTGCTAAAATAGGCTAGGCGCAAGCTAGGAAACATGGAGGCAAAAATTTCTAGTGAAGAGCTAGGGAAACACGAAAAGGGCAAGGAGAAAGGAAAGCCTGACCTTAGCTCATTTTAATCACCAGGTTTTTCTTTTCTAACCCTCCTTAGGTTTCAAAATTTTAGTTATTTGGCCCCACAACAATAATTTCTCTTGTATAAATCCCTAGACGCCCCTGCTGCTGCACCAAATCAGCCCTTGCCGCCTGCTGCGCCGAACCCACGTTGCTTGCACGCCTGCACTCTACGCCAGCAATCATGCCCT